GGGGGCGACACTGAGGGTTGCAATCCGTTGCCGGACACGGAAAAAAAAAGACAAAAAAAAAGAAAGGATTGTGGCCTTAGGAACTGGTTCATTTTCCTCCTCCTGGGGGCCCAGGTGGCTAGAAGTTCAGCCAGCGGGGCACACAGCTGTATTTCCCTCCTGGCTGTCCCTCCTCCTTGTGGTCTGACCTTGCTGGGCCACCTCCCTCCTTGGGCCTCCCATCTGGCAGGTTGGGGGAGGCACTGGGGAAGGGCCCTGGTGGTCCTTGGCAGATGGAGGGGCTGTGCCACCAGCTCTGTTGAGAGGCAGGGGCTCAGCCTGAGGCCTGTGTGTCTGTGCCGAGCATGTCATTCTAGTCATATGCTTCCAGTTCCATCTGTCCAGTCCAGGTCACAGAATCAGTACCTCAAAGCTGAGGGGTGGGCCAGGGCTGGCAGGAGGAGACTGAGCAGTGAGAAGGATGAAGAGAAGGAAGGGAATGAATGCTCATCGAGCGTACCTACTGTGTGCAGGCATTAGCCCAAATCACAAGGCACAGAAGGAGGGCTTGGCATGAGCATACATCAAAAGGGCTTTAGTAGCCTGAGTTCAGCATGACTCACCAGACCTATGGAGAAGCCAATGAGATCAGTTTTTGGCCAGGTTAATAGGAGTATAGTGTTCATAATGGAGATCTGCTCTAATCAGACTCTAATTGGCTGCAGCATTTATCCCTGTACCCTGCTCAGTCAGAGAGACAGGCTAGATTTGGGGTTAGTAGGGTCTGGACAACTGTCCTATGAGGGCTCCCCACCCTAGAGAAGAACAGAACCTGGTCCCTACCCCCAGGTCTGCAGTGCTGACCTGGAGCAGCTGGCTCAGATAGGTCTGCAGGCTCAGAAGACCAGGCTGGGACCCCTGAGGGCATGGGAGAGGCTGTGGCTGGTCCATGTGGCACAAGCCACCCACAAAGCCAGGTCTCCTTGGGTAGATGAGCATGGTGCTGGGCACCCTGGAGGTGCCTTCTCACCACGTGACTCCGAAAAGAACCTCCTTCCCTTGGAGGGCTCCCTTCCTAAATCACTCCTCACTAGCACAGAGTCCCTACCCCCAGCCAGTCTAAGCCCCGATCTCTCTTCCAGGATCTTGTGGAGGTGGAGGTGCTGCTGCTCCGGGCAGTAAGGATCCGTGCCCCCATCACACGAATGAGGACGGGGACCCAGGTGAGGTGGGAACCTTTCGAGCCCTCATGCCTGGGCTCTCCGTACAGCCTGTCGGGAGGTCTTGGGCTCTGAAGCCTGGGCCTGGATGAGCTTGGGGGAGCCGCGGCTAGAACGCCATTCCTTGTGCTGGAACACTTCTCCACCCCCCTCAGCTGCTTGCCCCTGTTTATCTGTGGGGTGCAGCTCAAGCTTCACCTCGTGCTCCAGGCCGGGGAGGCGTCTCCCTTGCTCTCTTGGGGCACAAGCTCCTGTGAGGCATAGCGTTCATCCCCTCGAGTTGTGAGTCTACCTCCCCACTGGACGGCCACCTGCCCACACCTAGAACACTACCGGGTGTGTTGCAGGAGCTCACCTGTCCATCGCACTTGCTCCACTGAGTGCATTCTGTGTACCGGTCCTGCTTGGTGTTCATGACAACACCGTGAGGTTGGTGTCAGAACCGTCTCCATGTGACAGATGAGCCAGTGAACACACAGAATGCTTAAAACACGTGCCCAAGGTCACCCAGCTAGTGGGTGGTGGCTCTGGGGATCACCTGGGCAGCCTGGCTCGGCCTGTTTTTGCCTCTCGCTGTATCACCTCCACCTGTGGCCTCTGGCAGGTGCTCAGCCAGTAGAGACTGAGGAGCCCACCCATGCCCCACCGTGTGAGGAGGGTGTCCTGCTGGGTTTGGGGAGAGAGGGGAGGAGGCTTAAGGACTGTGGGACAGCGCAAACTGTGCTGGAGGTCCACAGGCGCCCTAGAGCTCCAGGGGACCACACAGAAATGGGTCTCTGGGCCACGGGGAGGTACAGCCCACAGCAGGAGAGGGACAGGACGGGGAGGGACTGGTCCTGCCTCTGGTTTGATCTTTCAGTATCTGACCAAACCTTACCTAACACGCGCCGTGTGCTTCTCTAGTTAGGGAAGAATTGGGCACAGCTCCTCTTGCATGAAGGAGGCAGAACAGTACCCAGGTGGTGGAGGGCTGTTCAGGCAGTGTCCCAGGGGTTCCGAGGGACATTCCCAGTGCTGAGACTCAGTGCTCACAGGGCCTGGCTTCTCCCCTCAGATGCCTGTCTACGTCACCGGGATCACCAACAACCAGAACCCTTTCTCTTTTGGCAATGCCGTGCCAGGCCTGACCTTTCACTGGTCTGTCACCAAGCGGGATATCCTGGAAGTCCGAGGGCGTCACCACGAGGTAACTACCCTGCCCGGGGCCTCGCCCACCCCTGCCCCAAGCCAGCACCCCAGAGGTAGAGAGGGTTTCCATCACATCTGCTCACAGGAGGTCTTACACCTTTGTGTCCAGAGTAGTTCTGGCCCTTTCTGCCCTCTCCTGAGGCTCATCGGGATTCCTCCCAAACACTAACCACTACAGATGGGTTGACAGGTAATTCTACTAGCAGAAGGCAGCAAAGTTAGCAGCCTTGTGGGGAAGTCACGGAAGTTCTAGAATGTCACAGAGCTTATTGTGCAGCTTCTGACCCACCTTCTGAGATATTGTCTGCCAGCCCTGGCGTTTCCTCCTGCTTTATTCTAGAGGCCGAACTCGCCTTCTCTTAGCCCTGTCTAGGGGCCCTGTCCCCTCCTGAAGTCTCACAGCTGGATGATACTGTAGAGAACCTACTAAACCCCTCTTTAACTGAAGTCTAGAAACAGGAAGGGACATGCTCAGGGTTGCCTAGCAAGCTAGTGGGTGAACAGGACTGGGCACTGGCCCCTATGACCTCAGGCTACAAGTCCAGGCAGGCTTTGGTCACAAGGGACCTGAGTGGGGGTGGTTAGAAATGTTACTTCCTGCCTCATCCGTGGACAATGGGGATGGAGGCCTGGAGAGAGGGCCAGGCACGGGGATGGGGTTTCTCAAGGCTGCCTGAGTTTGCCTAGTGTAGGACGAATGCCTCCCTTTCCCCATCTGGTGGGGACAGGGTCCTGTCCACAGTGCATGGGGATTCCCTAGATTGCTTCCATGGGACACAGGCAGTGGGACATATTAACAGATGTCCCATAATAGCAGGCTCTGCAGGAAACCCCACAAAGGCTAGCATCCCTCTGGTGATTCCTAATAACATACCCCCATACACTAAGACCCTCTGGCAGTCTGCCACAAAGACCCTGGCTCACATGGGTTGACCCAGCATTTTGCACATTGTAAAACACGGCAGGGTTAGTGCTGGGGTGACTGCGGTCTGCATCACCCTGGGGTTAGCAGACAAAGCCTGGGTGGGAAGGCAGCCCCTGGCAGGGCCTGACGGCCAGGACTCTGTGGATGTTGTCTGATTCTGCCTTTTTGGCAACGCTGGGGCCCCGGGCCTTTCCCCTGAAAACATGTTTGTCTTTCCCAGGCATCTGTCCAGCTCCCATCACAGTACAACTTTGCCATGAACGTGCACGGCCGGGTGAAAGGCCGGACGGGGCTGAGGGTGGTGGTCAAGGCTCTGGACCCTGCAGCTGGGCAGCTGCATGGCCTCGCCAGAGAACTCTCTGATGAGATCCAAATCCAGGTAAAGGACAGGTGGGCAAAAGCCACATACAAGAGGGAGAGTGAGTGTCAGTGGCTCCTTCTTCTCCCAGGGGCCATATAAGTGCGCATCAGCCCTTCTGCTGGCCTAGGGCTGGGCCTGGGGGTGCTGATGTGAAGAGGGCCCTCCTTGCCCCCAAGGAGCTCTCAGTCTGCTGGGGGAGCTGGATGAATTCATCACATTGTGCTGAGTGGGGGGCACGTATGGGGTTGGGTTGTGTAAGGTGCTGTGGGAGCCCAGAGATAGCACTGACTGAAGGCTCCATGGAGGAGTGATATGTCAGGACTGGAGGGGTCAGCAGAAGGCCAGGTAGAGGGGATGGTATATGCAAAGGCCCGGAGGTTGGAAATAATTTGATGTGTTCCAAAAAATAGCTAATTCTGAGCGTGGGGTCTGGGGTATGCCTTCATGGTAGGAGTCTGGAGCTCACTGTGTCTGATCTGGGCCATTAATTTAATTATCTGTGTTTGTTTAACAAACACTCATAGAGCATGTAATAGAGACAGATGCCCTTCTTCATCCAGTGTACACATGAAGCCTGTGGGGCAGGTGCTGCCACTGGCTGATGAATCTGAGGCCCAGGGAGGTGAAGGGTCACAGTATGTGAGAGGTGGCCTTAAAAGAGGGGCCATGCCAGGCAGACAACTGGAAAACAGCCTCAGAGGGAGAGAACCTGTTTAGAGCCACTGAGTCACAACTCAGAGCCTAGTGCTTGTCCTGCCCAGAGCCTGGCCCCCACCTCTCTCTGTACCTGTCCCTCGTACTCACAAGATGGGACTTTGAGCAAGTCCTTGCCCCTCTGGGTCCCTCTGTGAAATGGGAGAGTTTAACAATTTGGCTCTAAAGGGCATTTTTAGCTTCAAGAGCCTCATTCTGCTCATCTGGGACTCAGTAACTCCTGGGTCCTCCTAAACTACAAAGAGAAACTGAAAGCATGCGCTAAATATCATGAGAAAAGAAATGGATTCAAGTCCCCTCCTCAAGAACAAATAAACTATTTCTAACCCAAGCACATGCCTAATCAGGAGCAAAGAAGCAGATTTTCAAAGAAAGAAATACCCATTTGCCAGCCCCTCAGCTCTGCCTACACAAGTGCATGCATACACACTCAACACAGACACATAAACAGATACATAGGCACACAGACATATATACATGCACACACACACATTTACAGACATACATACACAAAGAGAGATACACGTATCCACACAGACACAAATACACACAGACACATATACACACACAGATACAAACACAAAAACATGTTCTTCCTGGCTAAAGATGAAACAGTAAGTTCTGGCACCTATTGTAGAATTAAAGACAAGGCTTTGCAGCTTCCAAGTTCGGTGACCTCAGTTGGGTCACTTAACAGTTCTGTGCTTCAGTTTCCCTACTTGACAGCAGATGGAGATTGAGTGAATCAGAAACTAGAGAAGCTGTATCCATCCCAAAGATGTTTTTATCCAGTTCACTCAGACCCTTTAAACAACTTTTATTTGTTGCCAACATTTAAAAATAGGAAGATTGTGTATAAAAATTTAATATGCAGCTTGTCCTGAAGACATGGCATTTTGTCACATGTCAGAATCAGCAGGTGAGAAGCAGCCTTCCCTTTAGTGGAGCTGTACTCTCCAGTTTGCTGTAGGCCCTACCACTCCCTGTTATCTCCCTGACGGTGAGGTTGGTTATCAGTTGCCATTTACCATGGTGCTTGCACTGCTGCTTTGCTTGAAGTCCACCAGAAAGTGAGATATCTCTTGCAAATCCACCTCTATCTAAAGAGGGAGGGCAAAGAACTCATGTTGTAAGAAAAGTAGGAGGAAGCCTATTTGTGACTGTATTTGCGGTGTGGTAAGTGTGTCCCAGTCACAGTCAGTAGACTGCCTTGCTCTTGATGCTACCTGCCTGGAGGAGGTGGCATATGAGCCTGCCCTGGACTCACCTGACACCAAAACCCCATCCAGCTCCCAAAGACTATTTCTCAGTCACCATTTAGGAAGTTCTACATCACATCACATGAATCCCATAGCTCTTTAAGGCAGGCATTCCAAGGATTATTTGTTTTAGACCCATCTTACAGACAAGGAAATTTAGGCTTAAGTATAGTCAGAACACAGAGGTGCTGGGAAGGAGGGGAATCAGGCCAGTTTCCTCTTGGAACCTCATCCATCAGCTCAAGGAATAGAGACACTGGCCCAGGTGCTCAGGCCCTTTGGGGAATCCAGCTGGTCTGATCAGAGCCGGTGAGGTGCTCAAAGCACAAGTTTAACTGCCCAGCATGTGACTGCCCCTGAGAAGGGGACTTAGATAGTGATGGGCATGCCAGGAGCCTCGCAGAGAAGGAGTGTGGAGTTCCCAGGTATGTGCTGCCACTGTGGGCCCTGGGAGGGACAGGATCAGATGTGACCTGCCATTCTCAGCTTTATCATCTGCTGGACTGAACTCATGACACACCCCTGCACCATCTGTGGGGGATCCTGCAAGAGCATGGCAAGAGAAAGGAAACGAGGGAGAGCCAAGATGATCGAGTAGGGGTTGTTCTGAGATGGGACAGTGAGGCGCAGGTGTCTCAGTGAGAAAACGGAGAATTTAGATGGTGCTTCCCCAGGCTCAGTCCTGGCAGAGTTACACGTGAGCAAGACTCCAGTCCCTGTAGTTCTGCTTGCTGCCTTCCATGTACACATCCTGGTAGGTGACGTTCTCTCTACCTGGGAACAGAGGGAGAGGTGGTGTCTCTTGGCTCCATGAAGCAGCTCCCATGGGATGCACAAAGGCAAACCTGCCTGATTTTTCTCATCACTCCTTTGGCCTCTCTTTAAACTCAGCCCTTCCCATCACGTCACTAGCTTCCTGGCCAGGTGCTGGCAATGGTTTTTCTCCTCTCTGGTCCCCCTTGGCTTTCACTACTGGGAGAACGGCAGATACCTGGACCGCATGTGGCTCCAGTGTACCCTAGGAAATAAAATTCACCCTCTTTTCCAGGTTTTTGAGAAGTTGCTGCTGCTGAATCCTGAAATAGAAGCAGAACAAATACTAATGTCTCCCAACTCATTTATAAAGCTCCAGACAAACAGGTATGTGACTCAGCTCTTGTTTTCAGCAGGGCTGTGAAGCTGTGCTTGCATCAGACAATTCATTTGTCAAAGTTGTCAGGAGCCGTGGGGGCTTTAAGTGAATCCTCCTTGGTATTGTGCTTGAAATGGAGGCAGCTTCCGTGTGCCTCCTGCTCTTCACCTGGGCTTCCTCTGCTTCTCTACATCATTTCTCTGCATGAGTCCCCTTTTTCCTCCCTATAGCCTAGAAACATTTCCATTCTAGCTGCTGAAATTCAGTATCTTAGAAGGAAAAAAGTACCAACTTGAAAATATTACATTTTTCAGATGCCCCTGTGTTTTCCTGACTTGCCACTCTTAAGTGTAGTCCATGAACCAGCATCACCTGGGAGCATGTTAAAATGCAAATTTCAGGTCCCACACCAGATCAGTGGAAGCAGAAGCTGTACTCTAACCATACCCCCAGCTGATGCCGGTGCACAGTAACGTTTGGGAGCGCTGTTTGAGAGTGGCTGCAGAAGTAATTCGTACCTTCAATGTGAAGAAGATCCCTTTCATAAGGATGACTTGTGTTTAAACAGCAGTTGTAAAGTGGGCCTGCAGTGCCACTTATATGTTGCATGAAACACACCCATACCGTGTTCATTCAACCAAAAGCAACTAAGGGTCCAGCTCTGTGCTAGGCTCAGAACACAGAGATGAGTGACATAGGGTGCCCTGGAAGAGTATAGCCCAGCATGAGAAGGCTATAACAAAGCGAGCTATAATGGTTAAGCCGGGACCCAAAGAAGGGCCCTCCACTGAGGATTTAGGGGAGGCATGTCACAGACGGAGATGCGTGAGGTGCGGGTCTTGAAGGGTGAACAGGGGTTCCTCAGGTTAAGAGGAGGGGGTTGGTGGAGGAAGAAAGTCAAGGCAGAGGCAGTACCATTTGCTTAAAGTCACTTGGGGAGGATCTGTGGGGCTGGGACAGAGAGGGAGGTGAGGAGCAGGGCTTTCCCTGGGAGCTGGAGGCTTTTCCTTCTTGTTGATTCTTTACTATATTAATGAATATGTAACAGAATATAGAATACTGCGTAAGTCTCCTATCCAGTGTATGCTATCAGTAGTTTACAAGCCTCTTTCTTAGCGGGTAGCCCACTTTTATCCTATTAACAGCCCTCGGAAATAGAACCAGGCAGAATCATCACTCCCCCTTCACATTTGAGGAAATTGAGGCTCAGAGAGGGGTCAGAAAGTGCACACAGCTGTTGGCAGAGGGCACTGGGACTGGCCTTGGGCTCTGCCTGACTTGAAGCCCCTCCTCTCTCCACTATGCCAGGCTGCCTTGCTTCAGTAAATTGAAAACAATTTGCCACAGAAACAATCTTTTACAGTAAATGTCCTGTGTAGCTGATGAAAGAAACTCAGCCTTCGCGGTCTCTCTGTCCCTGCTGGCCGACCCGCGGCAGGCACTGCTCTTGGCAGAGAGAGATGTGGTGCTCCCCTCTGAACTGTCGGTTTTATGTATTAGGTTCTCCGTGGTGACTGATGAGGCTTCAGACAGCTGATGCTTGTGGTCCTGATGCACCGCGGGCCAAGATTGGGCTTTTTTCTTTTCCCAGGAGCAGTTGGGAACTTCAGACTGTGGGATCTAGTGGCATTGTACATGGCCCACTCGCTGTGACCTGCTCCTGCCACCGCCATTTGTAAAAACAGGCCTGTTTTATTTTCCAAAGGGATAGTGTGGCCTCTCTGAGCTACCGAGTTCTGGATGGGCCCGAGAAGGTTCCTGTCGTGCACATAGATGAGAAGGGCTTCCTGGTGTCGGGGTCTGTGATCGGGACATCCACGATCGAAGTGATTGCCCAAGAACCTTTCGGAGCCAACCAAACCGTCATTGTTGCCGTAAAGGTATGATTGTATTTTCCTCCATTTTGAAGTAATAAAAGCAATAGCACTGCGGTCCTGTTTTTCTCTCTTGGGTGTAAAAGTGAGTATATTCACCTCTCGACTGAGAAATTTTAGGTAGGAATTTATTTAGGAATAATTTAGAGGCAAAGGTCCTAGGTAGATAAAAAGCTATGGCATCTTGTGGCTGTCAGAGCCAAAAATCCTTGCAGATGATTGATTCCAATGACCTTGTTTCATAGATGGGTAAACTGAGGCCCAGTGAGGTCCATGATTGGCCTAAGGTCACAGAGCTGGGATTGGTGCCACAGCTTCCTGACTGGCATGCCTGTGCTCCACCCAACTACTGACATCATCACCACAGATCGACGAGCCCCTGCTCTGAGCCTACCTGGTGCCTGGAATGGGGTCGGCTCTTAAGAGCCTTAAATGAAGTGCTCGGTATCTGACATGCAGTCATGATACATCCAGTCCATGACAGACACTGCACCTTTGAGAATGAGATGGCCCATTTTACAGAGAAGGAGACTGAGACTCAGAGCAGAAGTGACTTGCTCAAGGTTGCACGTGATTGAGAAGCTAAGAATGCCTGGCCTGGGCTTGTATCCTTTTGTCCCCTCCTCCACACTGTGTTCCTTAGTGACAGGGACCTTCTCGGGCATCCTTGGGTCAACTTCTTGGGTTTATTCTGAGCAGAATTTTCCTTCCATATCTTATCATGGCCACTTTCTGAATCCTAGGTGACAGAGAAAATACATGATCACTTGAATTTTTAGACTTTGTCTAAAATTCAGAGTTGGTCACAGGCCTACTTTGTGAATGTCTTTTTGTTCCAAAGTGAATGCCTGGCAGGAAACTCCCACCCTGGTTTTTGAGTGAGTGAAAGCAACCGAATGCTCATCCTATTTCAACAAATACGTAATGAGCACTAACTGCGTAACAGATGCTGCAGTGCCAAACTTTGTCAAAGAAATTCAAACTTTTGGCAGCTAGCTTTTTGGCCAGGGTGGATTTTTACCTGGAATCAGAGAACCCGAGCTGCTTTTTATGGAGCTTGGGTTCTTGGGCTCCAGAAACCCATGTTTCCCTCCTCTGCCTAGAGCACCTACAGGCACGTGGTGTCCCTGGTCACAACTGCCTCTGCCATTCACGTGGGCATTAAATGCCCCATGAGCCAGGTCCTCTGAAGAAATAGAGCATTTGCACCCCAATGGCTATGTTTACAATGTGAATAATGATCTAAGTTTTCAAAGACATGGATTTTGACTCTCCTGGGTTGGGTTTTCTTTAAGCAAGGCTGGTCCACTGTGTGGAGAGGTGGGAACTCTGTCACTAAGTGGGGACGTTCTGGGGAACAAGGCCTTTCCTCTTCTTATGACCCTGGGTTCATTCCAGCCCGCAGCTGTCCCTGAGGTGTAGGGATTTGCTGGGGCAGGAATTGAAATTGAGTTTTGGGGGAGGCCAGTCCCCAGCACAGTGATCATTGTACCTCCTTGTTGCCTGCCAGGTGTCTCCTGTTTCTTACCTGAGGATTTCCATGAGCCCTGCCCTGCACACCCAGAGCAAGGAGGGTCTGGCAGCCCTGCCTCTGGGAATGACCGTTACCTTCACTGTCCACTTCCACGACAACTCCGGAGACATCTTCCACACTCACAATTCAGTCCTCAACTTTGCCACTAACAGGTAAAGTGGGGGTGATGCTTATTTCTCACATGAAGGCCTATCTGGATTTTACCTGGATTTAAATTAATTATAGGTGACTGGGTGATGATGCAGAGAGGCCAGTGCCCGTGAAAGAAGATTTTTTTTTAATTGAAACATAATCGATTATACATATTTGCCAGGTATAGAGTTGACCATCAGTATATGTGTACTGTATGTGATGGTCAAATCAGGATAGTTAGCATGTTTGTCATTACAAAGCATACTCATTCTTTGTGTCCATTCACCAGTTTCTCCCTTTCCCCCCTTCCCGTCCCCCTTTCCTCTTGCTATAACCACAGTTCTGTTCTTTCTCTCTGAATGTTCAAAGTATTGTTTGTTGCATATTTGTTTCTTTCTTTCTTTTTTAGCTCCCACTTATGAGTGAGGACATGCAGTATTTCTCTTTCTGTGCCTGGCTTATTTCACTTAACACAATTTCCTCTGAGTTCATCCGTGTTTCTGTGAATGGCAGAATTTCATTCTTTTCTATGGCACAATAGTATTCCATTGTGTATATAAATCACATTTTCCTTATCCAGTCATCTGCTGATGGACATTTCGGTTGATTCCATATCTTAGCTATTGTAAACAGAGCTGCAATGAACACAGGAATGCAGGTGTCCCTTTGACATGATGATCTCCATTCCTTTGGGTATATGCTCAGCAGTGGGATTGCTGGATCGTATGGCAGTTCTATCTGTAGTTCTCTGAAGAAACTCCATACCGTTTTTCACAGTGACTGCTCCAATTTACAGTCCCACCAACAGTGTAGAAGGGTTCCCCTTTCTCTGTATCCTCATTAGCATTTGTTATTCTCTGTCTTTTGGATAATAGCCAGTCTAACTGGGGTGAGATGATATCTCAGTTTGGTTTTGATTTGTTTTTCCCTGATGATTAGTGATGTTGAACATTTTTTCATGTACCTATTGGTCATTTGTATATCTTCCTTTGAGAAATGTCTATTCAGCTCCTTTGCCTGTTTTTTAATTGGATTATTTGTTTTTTTAGCATTAAGTTGTTTGAGTTCTTGTATATTCTAGATATTAATCCTTTCTTGGATGCATAATTTGCAAATATTTTCTCCCATTCTGTAGGTTGTCTTTTCACCCTGTTGATTGTCTCCTTTGCTGTGCAGATGCTTTTTAGTTTGATATAATCCCATTTGTTTAATTTTTCCTTTGTTGCTTGTGTTTTGGGGATCTTATTCATAATGTCTTTGCCCAATCCTACTTCCTGAGGTTTTTCCCCTATGTTTTCTTTTAGGAGTTTTATAGTTTCAGGTCTTATGTTTAAGTCTTTAATCCATTTTGAGTTGACTTTGGTATATGGCAAGAGGTATGGGTCTAATTTCATTCTGCTACATAAGTGTATCCAGTTTTTCCAGCACCATCTACTGAAAATGCTGTTCTTTCCCCAATATATGTTCTTGGTGCTTTTGTCAAAGATCAGTTGGCTGTAAGTGAGTGGATTGATCTCTGGGTTCTCTATTCTGTTCCAGTGGTCTGAGTGTCTGTTTTTATGTCAGTACCATGCTGTTTTGGTTACTATAGCTTTGTAGTATAATTTGAAATCAGATAGTGTTATGCTTCCAGCTTTATTTTTTTGTTGTTCAGGATTGCTTTGGCTATTCGGGGTCTTATCTTATTCCATATGAATGTTAGTATTGTTTTTTCTATGTCTGTGAAGAACGTCATTGATATTTTGATGGTGATTGCATTAAATCTCTAGATTGCTTTGGGTGATATGGACATTTTCACAATGTTAATTCTTCCAATCCATGAACATGGAATGTCTTTCCATCTTTTTGTGCCTTCTTTAATTTTTGGAAGAAGATTTTCATTACTTGGTTTCCAAGAGAAGGGCACACCACACAGGGCCTGGAGAGGTGGCACCAGGTTTGGTCAGAAGGCAAAAGGAACATGGGAGAGCCCACATGGCAGGAAGCAGAACACAGATAGTGGGGTTTGTGGTTGGAGGGTTTGTAATAAGATTTTCATGTGTCAGTGAAAGCTGGACTGCAGGGGAGATGTAAACAGTCTTGGCTGTTATTTAGGCCTGTCATCAATCATAGCATCAATCACAATACCTATAAATGTTGGTTAGAGCAAGGCACACAGCTTTGAATATTCAGGTGCTAGTGATGAAAGAGTCCAGAGTTCACTGAGGGTCTGCTGTGCTTCAGTCCTTCTGCATGCCATTATGCTGACTCTTCACCATAGCCCAGTTGTAGGGGCCCAGAGAGGTTAAGCCACTTACCCGGTCCACACAACCAAGAAGTGGGGTTTGAATACCAGGCTCATCCAGCTCTGAGCATGGTTCTTTTTGCATGACCCTTTCAAGATACAACTGCAGGCACAGTCCTGATGTGAAGAGAGGTGGCAGTCTCCAGACTGGAGGAGAGAGCCGTGACTTCAGCCTGGGCCTGCTGAAACTTGTGAGCCTCTGGAGCAGTGGTTCTCAAGGTGTGGTCCCCAGGACAGCAGCACTGACACCCCTTGGGGACTGTTAGAAATGCACATTTCCAGAGCTTAGCGGTCTGTGCTTTGGCAAGACCTGCAGGTAACTCTAAAGGTGGAGAAGCACTGCCCAGGGGGGCTGCAGACCAGCTCAGAGGAGGAAAGACAAGCATCAGTCCCAGGAGGAAGGGGGAGGGATTGGGGCAGGCTCCAGAAGATTACATCCAGGTGTTGGTGCCCATTCCAGCCTGGGCATCCCACAGGCCCTGTAGTAGATGTGTTCCCCTGTCGCTGAACCACCCTAGGACAGGTGTGAGGGTTTTCCATTATGAGAAGAACCTGGTTTGGATTTAGGCCTGGTTCTGGTCCCAGCTCTGCCTTTTGTGGGGCCTGTGAGCTTGGGCAGGGCAGGTTACCTCCCCAAGCCTCTGTTCTCACACCTGTCACATGGTGAACATGGCCTAGTCCCCAGGGCCATCGACTGAGGGAGTGATCATGAGGGCTTTTGGCAGCTGTGGAGCTCTGAATGCACAACATGGCCGTCTGTCAGTCCAGAATATAGGCAGCCCCGGAGGAAATGGAACTGGTTCTCCCGGCCCCTGAGCTACACTGCAGAAGTCTCTGTGGCCCTTTTGTGGCAGGAGCACCTCTTCATAGAGACCAAGTCAGGCAGGGCTCAGGAGTTGGAAGGCATGAGGGAGGCAAGGGAATGGAGCCAGAGACCTTAACCCTCACCTACGCCATCCAAGCTCCTCCACCAAAGCAGCATTAGCTGATACTGGCAGAGCACTCACCGCACACCAGGTGCTGTTCTGAATGCTTTAGACTGTGACGTCATGGGATACGTACGCTGAGCCTGTGGCACAGGTACGCTAGTCTCCCTGTTTCACAGAAGAGGAAGTGGGCAGAGGCCGTACCACTCTTCCAAGTTACCTAGTAAAGGGCAGCCTGTGCCTCCCTAGGATGTCTGAGTGCCCTGCTGGGAAAAGGGTCAGAAAGCACTTTGTGATCAGAAATGGCTTTTCTCTCTGGGCTTTGGCTTTCCCTTCTGGAATTCAGGGATGCTGCTGCTGCCACTGGCAGTTCCCGGCTGAGGGCTGTGGGTCTGTCAGGGTGATGAGAGTGGAGGTCAGCTGTGCACGCCTGTGGTGGGCTCTCATCTGGGGCAGTGGCCTGGGAAACACGAGTTGGAGCCCAATCGGGGACCTCAGTCACTCAAAGCTTCGCTCAGCAGAGGACTTGGGCTGCGTTTCTCCTGCCAGAGGTGGGGGCATCTCTCCTGAGACTGAGAGCCCTTCTCTTTGTCCTGTGCCTAGAGATGACTTTGTGCAGATTGGGAAGGGTCCCACCAACCACACCTGCGTCGTCCGCACCGTCAGCGTTGGCCTGACACTGCTCAGCGTACGGGACACAGAGCACCCGGGCCTCTCTGACTTCGTCCCGCTGCCCGTCCTACAGGCCATCTCCCCAGAGCTGTCTGGAGCTGTGGTGGTGGGGGATGTCCTCTGCCTGGCCACAGTTCTGACCAGCCTTGAAGGTAAGAGAGATCTGACCAAGGCAGACCTTTCAGAGTCAGGGGCACTTACGAAGATGGGAGTAGCTCCCAGGGAGGAGCTCGGTGCCTCGGTGTGGTGCCTCGTCACCTCACAGGAGGTGTGCCTGTAGAAAAAATCCGAGGGCCAGATCCAGCCTGCTGCATCTGTTTTGCAGCAGGCCGCATTTTACTGGAACCCAGCCACGCCCATTCATTTATGTCAATGGCTGTTTCCACCCTACAACTACTAGGCTGAGATGTAACAACAGAGATCATGTGGGCCACATAGCCCCAAATATTTACTGTCTGGCCTTTTACAGAAAAAAGTTTGCCAAATGCTACTCTAGACAGTATCGTCCATTAGAATTTTCTACTCTTATGGAAATATCCTGTATCTACACTAATTCAGTAGCCCCTAGCAAGTGAAAACTTGGGATGTGGCTAATGCACCCGAGGAACTGAATTTGTAATTTTAATTCATTGAGTAGACATGGGGCCATTTCAGTGGTTTCCACGTTTCAGCCGTTGCCATGCCACCATGTAACACGTGTACAATTATTTAATATTTTTTTCAAACTGGTTCCCTTTTGGTACCTCATTAAGTTCATTTTAAAAGGAAATTAAACACTACCTTTAAAGAAAAACAAATATAATTTGCCATAAACAGAATGTGGCTGTTGAATTCTTTTTTTATATTTATCATGTAATGTGATTGACTTTTAACTCAGAAGTGCTGTGTAATGACAGCTCTGAGCCTAACACTTGCTTTCTGTGTCCTAAAAAGGAATTGATAAGTGGGGGTGGGGGGAGAAGATGAGGGAGGGCCTTCAGAGAGCAAGGCCTGGGGGCAGCACACTGCCTTTCTCAGGGCAGGAGGGCAGATAAAGCTTCGTACAAAGGGCATTGCAGGGGTGGCAGCAGGGCTGAGGCCATAGCTGTGCAGAGAGCAGGTGCGGGCTGGAGCTAGAAATGGCCCCAAGTGGCCGGAGCTGGCTGCAGCAGCAAGCAGTGTGGGTTCTTGCCTGAAACTGCTGAGGGACCCCCCTTGGGCAATGGGGCCCAGCTGGGAGGCTGGCTGGTCATCCAGGTGAGCTGGGCTTTGGCTGGAGTGTCCAGTCATGGGAAAGATGGGTGACATCTGGGACTTCCTCCCCCAGGCCTCTCAGGAACCTGGAGCTCCTCAGCCAACAGCATCCTTCACATCAACCCCAAGACAGGCGTGGCTGTGGCCCGGGATGCAGGATCTGTGACGGTGTACTATGAGGTCTCGGGGCACCTGAGGACCTACAAGGAGGTGGGGCTTGAGGGCAGCCAGAGGCACAAGGGGCTCTGTGGCCTGTGAGGCACAGGTGACCCTCTCGGAGGCACCATTTGGCTTGTGTCTTAGTCCATTTGGTGCTGCTATGACAAAATACCTGAGAATAGGTCATTTATAAAGAGCAGAGATTTATTTCTTACAGTTCTGGAGGCTGGGAGTCCAAGGTTGAGGGGCTGGCACCTGGCGAGGGCCTTCTTGCTGCTTCATTTCATGGCAGAAGGCAGAAGGGCAAGAGAGTACATAGGGGAGTGAGAGGGGGAGGGAGCAAAATTCATCCCGTTATCAGGAGCCCACTCCCCGATAATAGCATCCATCCATTCTATTAGGTGGGGACCTAATCACCCCTTGAAGGTCCCACCTCTCAACACTGTTGCAGTGGGGGTTACATTTCCAGCACATGAACGTGGGGGACACATTGGAACCACAGCAGCCTGTGATCACGAATACCTTTCCTTTAGGAAAATGCCTTATGACTCCCTTTTGTTTAAGAAAGAAACACTGGTCACTTAGTACCATCTGAGGAGGTGGAGACCTGGGAGTCATGAGCCTAGGATCGGCCACCCACTCTGAGATGGGGACAAGTTCCCTTTTCTTCCCAGGCCTCTGTCTCCCCATGTTCAAAATGATATAATGACGAAAGGTTACCTCGTGGGGTTGGCGAGGTAACATTTCGTCAGCCAGGAACCTGGCAGCCACAGCCCAGGCGTGGGCGTTTCCCAGGGAGTTGCGGCCGTGGGCAGGACAGCACTGGGATTTGGCGTCACCAGCAAAGTTAAGCCTCCCCCAGCAAGTCACCTTTTGAGTCTTTATGGAGGCGAACAAAAACCATTCTCTCTTCTATTTATCTCCAGCCGAGAATGAATCAATGAGCAAGGTCTGGCCGAGGTCCAAATATGTCTCATTTTTAGAGCCAGCATGTGCTTTATCGAATCCAGCAGTTTAACCTAATAGTTTGCATATTTAGTGCCACGACTCTGCGGTTTGGGTGAGCTGGTTGCAGATAGAGGCACTCTGACTGATAATAAAGCTGTGCTCTCCTGAAGGAGCCTCTGAGAATGGTCAGGGGAGGGGACGGCATGGGCAGAGGTATGTGGGGTTCAGGAGCAGAGCCTGGGGGAGGCTGGAACATGGGGTTGGGAAGAAGCAGGGTCTGGCTTTGTGATCAGATCACGAAATGCATTGGATTCAGGGTAGTTTGGTGCAGGTTAAGAGAGTGGGCTCTAGAGCCAGGCTTGGCCACTGAGAGGCTGTATGACCTTGGGCAAGTTATTTAACCTCTCCATTCCTCAGTTTTCTTGCCTATAAAATGGGGATATTGTTGTGAAGGTTAAATGAGTTAACATGTGTGAAGCACTTAGAAGGCACTTAGCACATAGCAAGTGCTCAGTAGGTATTAGCTGCTAGTGTTGCAGTTCCAGCATAAAGAGGCTGAAGCTTACGCCAGACACTGGATTTTTTTTAATGTGAAGAGTGATGTAGATCAGGGGTATGCTTGGGAAAGATTACCTGATACCTGTCAGAGCTCTTGAGAGAGAGAGTAGCTGCAGGGTAACCAGCCAGTAGACTGAGGATGGGGCCTCAGCTCGGACCATTGGGAGAGCTGGAAACTAAGGGTGGATGTGGGAGGGATTCCGGAGGGAGGCTCCCCTAACCCTGGTCAGCACATGGAAGTGGGGGGTGTGTGGGTAAAAGAGAAGATAGGAGGCAATGATGGGTCCAGAGCTGGGAAAGCACTGGGCAGGGCAGCGGTAGGCAGCTTGTCATTCCCTCGGGATGGCAGGTAACCCTTGAGAGGAGACAGTGCTTTGGCAGCAGGAGCCCCTGGGGAGTCTGGAGGTTGATAGAAGCCCGCCCAGGGCTCTGCATTGGCCACAGCCCTGGTGGATTTGGGACGGAGTGAGACCCCATCCCCGCTCTCAGGGAGTTCATGCTGTGCTGGAAATGAGACCCATGGGAGGCAAGGAGTGCTCACGCCCGCTCCGAGGGGTAGATGGCCTTCCAGCTGGAACCGGGGTGCTGGCCGGAGGTGGTAGGCTGGCTGGGCTCTGGAGGAGGGTGGAGGGATCCCAGCAGAGGGAGCCGAGAAAGGCCATCCTGTCACAAGGAGGCCAACAGCCTAGGGGTTTGGGTATGACTGGGCACAGGCTAGGCCAAGGGGGATGAGCCAAGGAAATCTGGGCAGACTGGATTCTGTGGGCCCTTCACTACCTGGGCTGTGTGAGTTTGCATGTTGGTCAGGTTGATTCTGAGGAAATGACAATAAAGTAAAACAGATCCTTCTCTCTGCCACAAGATTAATTAGCCAAATTCATCAACAGAAGAGATCACACCCCAGACCAGTGAATGAATGCAGGCCGCCATTCAGCTCCCTGGGTCTGTTGCTGGGAGCAGCAGTTGGATCAGTAGGAGAGCACTGGGCTGCGAAGTCTGACCAGCCTGGCTCTAACCCCAGCTCTGCCATATGCCAGGCAGGCACATAGGCTTTGAGCCTCAGTTTTGTCCCCTGTGAAGTGGGTAATGCCTGTGTCACAGGCCGCATGAAAACACCCACCATGGGACCAACGAAGTCTGACCAGCCTGGCTCTAACCCCAGCTCTGCCATATGCCAGGCAGGCACATAGGCTTTGAGCCTCAGTTTTATCCCCTGTGAAGTGGGTAATGCCTGTGTCACAGGCCGCATGAAAACACCCACCATGGGACCAGCACACAGTTGGCACTCAATGAAGCTGCCTGGGCTCCCTCCCCAGATAGTGATCAGCGTCCCTCAGAGGATCGTAGCCCATAGAGTCCACCCTGTCCAGACCAGTTTCCAGAAGGCCACAGCCTCCAGAGTGATCGTCACTGTGGGAGACGGAAGCTCTAACTTGAGAGGTACAGAATGAGAGAGGGCTCGGGCAGTCTGGGGAGGGCCCTGCCAGGCTCAGGGGAGTGGGGAGGTGGATCTGTGCCCTTCTAATGGGGTTTTATCTGTTGTTCCTATTCAAACTCAGACCACCTCCAAAGAGAGCACTTACCCCCAGCCTGTCCACTCCTTGCAGCTTTTTAGAAATTTTAGTTCCCCACAAGTAAAGCCAGTAAAAGGAGTCTTCATAAAAGAGCTCAGCTCCCAGAAATTGCCTGTTTCTGAGCTGGAAATGAAATTTCAGCTGTAGGGCACCAGAGCAAAGGAAGCCACAATTTACAACCATTAATCCCAGAAAGTAATGACTTAGCAGGCCTAGTCGTGGATTTTAATTTTTATAATTACCTCTCCCGAGTCATGCATAGAACATTCAACCTCGTCCTCTGCCCATGACAGCCTTTGATGGGAGCTGCCAAAAATAAATAAGTCAATATAAGCTGTTTTTCTGAAATCACTTACCTGGCAGCATTAAACACCACCATTCTCATCCTGATTAATGGAGCCACTTTATTACATCCTGGTAACCTCCCTTTTTCTACCCCAGTGCAAGTGGCTAATACTCCGCAGTTGCCGGAGCGATGCTTGGTGTATTAGTGTAGAACTATTACCCTCCTAATGTCCAGAAATAAACCGCCCGCTTTTTCCCTGCTGACAGGAGCAGAAGACACACATTAGGGGGTCCAGTCCATCTGCCGTGCCCTGGGTACAAGCTCTAGATCAAGCGCCGAAATTCTGATCAGAAATTAACCTGTGATTCAGGATGCCCCCTCCTTCGTATAATTTCTTCTTGGCCTTTGTAAACCGAGGCATTACCACCAAGCTTTGGGAAGCCTGGGGGCCCTGCATGGCAGGCACGGGGGCTGGCCCCGCCCTTCTCACCCTCCCCATCTCTAGGTGCGTGCTCCCCCACCCAGATGGAAGTCCTCGAGACCTTGCACCCAGAGTCCCTTCTCAGCTGCCAGCTGCAATTCAAGCAGGACATGGTGGATTTCTCAGCACGTGATGTTTTCACTGTAGAGCCGGGGTTCGACGCTGTTCTAGGTAAATGTGCAAGGATTTGAAGATGAAAATGAACTTGCAGAGAGCAAGCCTTCTGTCTTCAGTGCATTTGGCTCACAATGGTTATCTGTCCAGAGGGGCAGAGGTGGTTGGGGCCCAGCCTAGGAATTGGTTCCAAGGCTCTGGCCTCTGGTTCCATGTGGCTGACCAGAGGAGTTGGCCATCCCGAGTCAGGTCGTGGCTGTCCTCAGCAAGTACCTGCACCAAGAGAAAGGATGCAGAGTGTAGAGTCAGACCCAGGTGGAGTCTTCTGCTGTTCTTGCTATTCCACCTGTGGGGTTGAGGCTGCCTCCTCTCCATGAAATGGGGACAGCGGGGCTGGCCCTGCCTGCATGGAGTAAGTGAGGGGTGGATGGAGTGTCCCCTTTAAATAGTCCAGGGCTGCACAGCATGCTGGGTCCCACATGCTCCAGAGACCGGGAAGCCAGAGCAGTGGCAGTGAGGGCCAGCACCGTGGGCTGCCCAAGGGGTGCCGGAGTATCACCTCACAGCTCTGAGAAGAGTGGTGCCCCTTACAGAGTGCTTGAGGATTCAGTAGGACAGTTGCTGTGATGTGCTTAGTGCCAGGCTCATATGGAGTCCTCAGTGGCAGCAGTCAGGATTATTGTGATAATGATTATTGGTTGTCATCGAGCACTTTTTTCAGCTCTCCCGACAACCCTGTCAGCTGGGAGAGCTTGGCACCAGCAGGATGCCAGGCCATAAGCCCAGTCTGCAGTTGTGGTCAGGTCTCGGTGTCCAGGAAGCCAAGGGTGGAGGCCCTGCTCTGCCTGTGCTTACCCTCCTCCTCCTCTGACAGCAGCACTAGGGCGTCCTCAACACCCGCTGCTGTCTGACGTGCAGGAGATGTTTCCTGCAGGCACAGTGGCTGCTGGGCCCAAGCTCAGGGCCTTGCCCAGCAGTCAGCACGGGGAAGGCCCTTACGTGGTGGTCCCGCTGCCCTATTTATTCCCTAATGCTGCCCATAAGGGCTGTGATGTTATCCCTATTGGACTAAGAGAAACAGGACCAGCAAGGAGGTGGACTCATGTATGGGACCCCAGCAGGTATGGCCATGGAAAGGACTCTAGCCCAGGCATCCAGGTCCCAGGTTTGCAGAGCTTCCTAAGGCCCTGTTAAACAGTGTGCATTCAACTCAAATCTACCTACTCTGGGTCAGGCTGGAGGATAGGACAGGAACCAAAGTAGTCATGGTCCATGTCTTTACAGAATCTCCTGCTGTGTCTGGGCTGCAGGCCGTCCTGGAGTCAGCCTTGGCTTAACCTGCAGCCAACGTCCCTGTACTTTTGGCTTTTATTCACCCTCCTTCCGGGCCAGGCAGGCTGGGTCCTGAGATGCAGAGCCTGCCCTGACATGCTCCCTGCTTCCAGAGTGCCACTTGAAGGAGGATCTGGTGAATAGATGATTCTGAGACAGAGAGAGGGAGTGCTGGGCAGAGAAGATGTCCACCTGGTCCAGGCGCCCCACAGGGGGACTCCCAGGAGGCTTCCTGGGGGAGGTGACTTGTCACCTGGACTCTGGAGGATGCATAGGAGTTCCCTGGTTAGAGAAGCAGGGAGAAGGAATAGCACCTGTACATGGGAGAGGGGACAAGGCAGGACACCTGTCTCCGCAGGCCAGTACCTCTGCTTGGTCACGATGCACAGGCTGACGGACAAGCAGCTGAAGCGCCTGAGCATGGAGAAGACAGCTTTGGTGGTCACCGCCTCCATCCCTGGCAGCCTCTTCTCTGTGGAGCAGGTTGGGGCTGAAGTGCCCTTCAGCCCAGGGCTCTATGCTGACCAGGCTGAAATCCTTTTGAGCAACCACTACACCAGCTCCGAGGTCAAGGTCTTTGGTGCCATGGAGATTCTGGAGAGCCTGGAGGTGAGTGGCTTCCACGTGCCTCAGGTCAAGCAGGAGCCAGGGGCATCAGGAAGGACCAGGAGGAACGTCCTGTGCCACCTCTCTTAAAATTAAAAATTAAAATTGGAAATTTAAAAATATTGAAATACTCTTACCCTTCTCTTTTCCATAGCACTGTTGCTATGTATCAGCCTATATAATTTTCTTAATTATTATAATTCCTGCTGGTCTTCCCCAACTGAAAGTTAAGCCTGTGAGCAAAGCACTTAGAACACGTAGCATGTGCTCAACAAACATCTAGTGTGTTGAACGAATGAAATGAACAAATTCAGTGTGAGAACACACACTGCCCTGGAGCAGGAAGAATAAGCCCTGATCACTACTGGGGACAAGTCCCCTGTCTGCAGGCCTCACTTTCCCCATATGCTAAATGGCAGGTGAATGATCTCTAAGGTTCTGGAGTCTGGCAAGCCTGGGAAGAGATCTGGTGTGAGGACGAAGAAGTTTGCTGGCTTTTCCACCTGCTCCTTCTCTTGTCTTGCACAGCAGACGTGGCTATCTGTCCTCCAAGAGACAGGGAATAAATGCATTGTTGATGGTGCAGGGCTGCCAGGCCTGGGGGTGAGGGGGTTTCTGTTGGAGATGGGCCTGTGAACAGAGCTCTGGGCTGCTCCTGTGCAGAGCTGGTGTTTGGTGATACTTCATGTTGGTTTAGCATTTTTTAAAATAGCACTTGATTAGAATTCAATGATATTGATTTGTCCTTTCCTTAAAAAATATCCTGCATATAGACAGTGCTTCCTGACGTTGCAGACTGCATGCCATCCAGATGTGCCCAGGCGTTATCACCTGCCTAGGAGGTGTGACCTGGGCAGCGGGTCCCCCCTCCCCACAGCCCTTTGGGCCTCAGGAGGGAAGCCCAGCATGTCAGGCTGAAATGGGGGTGCTTCTAGAGATGACCTGGACAGAGCTAAACTTCTGCCTGGGAATCCCGCAGCCCCACACGATGGTCCATCCACTCTGCAGAACGTGCTCCCTTCAGCCCTAACATCTCTCCCAGGTGAAATCCGGATCCCCGGCTGTGCTGGCCTTCGTGAAGGAGAAGTCTGTCGGGCCACCCAGCTTTATAACATACATGGTCGGTATCTCAGACCCTGCAGCCGGCAGCCAGGGACCTCTGTCCACTACCCTGACCTTCTCCAGCCCCAGGACTAACCAAGGCATCACCATCCCAGTCACTGTGGCCTTTGTGATGGATCGCCGTGGGCCTGGTCCTTGTGAGTCCGGGGATGACATCAGCTGGGACAGACCTGGGCGGGGAGAGACAGGCTGGAGTGGTCCTGGTATTGATCAGTTGAAACTTGGGGTGTGAGAATCAAAGGAGTCAGAAATGCAGAATGTCCCTCAAAGTGACAGTTGCTCATTGGGCCATCATACATGCTTTTCTTCCCCTGCTTCCCCACCTATTCTCAACACGGCAGTCAAGGGATCACGCCCCTCCTCTGCTCAACATCTTGCCATGGCTCCCATCTCCCTCGGGGGTAAAGCCCAAGTCCCTACGAGGCCCCACATGATCTGCCTCCCTTATCCATATATGGCTCATCTGCCCCAAGCACCCCTGTTCCAGCCACACTGGCCTTCCTGTTTCTGGAACACATGTGGCCCTCAGCTGGAGCTTTTGTCATCCACCGTTCCCCTGATAGGCCCTTGGCCAACACTGTCACCTCCTGCAAATCTTCCCTCTGATCTGATCTTCTCAGGTGCTGTTGAAGTCGGTCCTCTCTCCCAAGCACTCACACTCTCTTCTTACCGCAGCACTGCTGCCCCTCTCAGCCCGTATAATACTGTAACTAATTATCGTTTCTGCTCATCCTCTCCAATGAGCAGTGCATGCGGACAGTGCTTAGACCAGGGCCTCCCTGACCTGCAGCAGATGCTCAGTGAGTGTTTAGTGTTGAATGGACGGATTCAGTATTCTGTAGTCACTTGTGAGCTCCTGCTGTGGGCCAGACCCTGTGCTGGACGGATGAATGAGAAGCCCCGCCCCCCCCATATAGAGAGGACACAGGGTGACCGATGCAGTAAGAAAGGAAGGGTTTGCAAGGTGCCTCTGCAGGGTGGAGAGTGCAGGTCAAAAGGCCTGCTTCAGCAAGATCTGCAAGGCGGAGTAGGCCAGGGGAGGGTGCTGCAGAGAGAGACCCTGGGGTGATGTGCAGGGCAGAGTGGCTAGACCATCAGGAGCCTGAGCTCAGTTGGGGGTGGGGGATGGGGCGATATTGGGAGAGGACTGCAGGGGGCGGGCCGGCCTTTAGGGGCACTTGAGGCCATCACCTTCTTCCTGACTCAGGGCAGCCCAGTGAGGTGCAAGAGGGGCGGAAACATAGCCACATTGGGTCCCTGGTGAGGTGTCAGGGTCAGGGGCGAGGAGGGGGGAGATGGATGAGGGAGCCAGGGCCCAGGCTGTCCCCCAGGTGGGGGACCCAGGGCAGGAGCAGCACTGGGGCAGAAGATGCTGGGCTCCACTTGATCTGTGAGGCTCTGATTCTGAGAGTCATGGCACCCCATGCAGCCAGTGGAACTTCCAGCCAGTATCTTTGTTTTCACATCTCTAACTCATGACTGGACATTTCGAAACCACCTTAACTGGCTTCCTTGTGTTTGGGGCAGCAGGGCTGACTTGGAGGCAGAGTGGATGTATTAGCCTGACCTCCCTGCCGGACAGTCAGCCCTTTCACCAGAAGAGCGTTTCCTGGAAGGAAGCATAGTCTCGGCAGAACAGGGTTGGGTTCCAATGGCCCCAGGTGGAAGGGGTGATGTACTAGGGTGATAGGACCAGATGCTGACCTGGGCTGAGAGCAGGCCACCTGGCCCTCTGAAGTCCCCTGTCCTCATATCTAAGATGGGCTGGGGTAGCAGGGGGTTGGATAGGACTATGCAGATGTGTAGTAACGCACGAACATGACACCGCTGCAGCCCCAGCGGTTTTGGTCACTTGTCTTTCTGTTGATGGCAGACGGAGCCAGCCTCTTTCAGCACTTCCTGGACTCCTACCAAGTCATGTTCTTCACGCTCTTTGCCCTGCTGGCTGGGACGGCTGTCATGATCATAGGTGAGGTGGACTATGTCACGATCATAGGTGAGTTGTCTCAGGTTAGCTCCCCACCCCCACCCGCTCTAACCAGCCACGTACTCTTGCAGCCTACCACACAGTCTGTGCACCCCGGGAGCTCACCATGCCTCCAGCCCTCATGCCTCCAGCCGGCCCCCAGCATAGCCCCCACTGTGAGTAACACTCCACCCCACACCCCACACAGCCAGGCACAGCTGTAAAGAGGGGTAGCCCTGAGGGGGTGGGCAAGGCCCTGAACCCCAAGTCTCACGGGCCTGTCCTGGGCAAAAGGAGCTTAGGCTGAGACCTGAGGCCCACAGGGCAGATCTGGGAGGTAGTAAGCAGGAGTGGATGGGCTCAGATGCCGTTCCTGGGTCAGCAAGGGCTTTCGTAGACAGCGCTGTGCAGGTGGAGAGGTTGGCAGCAGCCAGCTGTCTCTGCAGGTGTGTGTGCCAGGGCTGGGCTCCCAACTGCACAGGCTGCTGCAGAGCTGTAAGCTGGAGTGGACTCGGAGATGGGGATTCAGGGCGGTCCTGAGGAGGGGTTTCCCAGATAGGGAAGAGGGGCAGAGCCCATTCCTTGCAACAGTCCAGTTGTCTCTCAGTGGGCCTGAGGCCCTAGTGACCCTGCACACCTCCAGGGAGCACCTCTCTGTGAGTGGTGTCCCCTGAAACTGCAGTGCCCCCCGTCCCCCATGCAGGTGTACACAGTAGCCCTTTACGTCTCCTGATTCCAACCCACAGGTTCTCTTCCTGCATAAGGAATCCTTGAGCTGGGTTCTGCTGACCCTAGGAGGGCCATGGACAGGCTTCGAGGGGGTCTATGAGGGTTTTAAATGAGGACACAGATGTGTAGATAGAGGAGCATCCTGGACCCCTAGAATCATGGCCTTCTACCCAGCAACCTCTCATACCTGAGAAGCAATGTCCAGGGAATGCCGTGGAATGCTCAATGGCTCGGTTCCCCCGCAACTCTGACACATTATGTGGGTATTCTTTCAGCAGGCTCTCGCCCTTTCTGACCACATCTCCCAACATGCTTCTCCCTGGGTCTGCTGGAGCCACACTGGAGTCTTTGCACTGTCTCCAAAACACTGCAAAGCCATCTGCTCACCTCGTAGTCTGTTCATGCAGCGTCTTCTGCCCAAGATGCTGTTCCCACCCAGAAGGACGGGCCCTCCCTCCCACATTCCCATGGACAGACGCAACCACATGGTCCTGAAACCCAAGACTCATTCTCCCCTGCCAGGCCTCTGTGCATGTCCAACAGTCGTCCCTTCCCTTTCAGGACTGCTCAGCAACCCCAGGGAGACCCCAGAAATGATTAGGAAAGTGGCTGAGGCATGCAGCAGGCACCTCCTAAACGCTCGTCTTGATGCAGACACTGACGAGCAGTTGCAGCGTGTCCAGTCTCCCTTTGGTTCTGTTTCTCACTTTGTCCTCTTTCCACCCTAGATTTGGCTGCCTCATCCCCGACATCTTTCACTGCTCTGCCTCCTGGTCGCAAATCCAGCCCTGCCTCGGGGCTGTGGAGCCCAGCCTACGCCTCCCACTAGGCAGCAGCATTGAGGGGCCAGGGCCAGGGCTGAAGGCCGCTCCTCACGGAAGCCCTGAGACCTGCCTCGCACACTTCGATGATGGGGACCTCCATCCCGTTCGCGCTGGAACAAGCCCCTCCACCCAGGCCAGCGTCACTGCTGCCGCTGTTTTGATAGAGCGTGTTTTAGATAGGTGGTGCTCATTAGCTGCTGCTTATATGCAGGAGTTTCACGTTTGTTTTTTATCCTTCCAAATCCTGCATAGCTAAGTAAGACTTTTTGGCTCATTCCTTCATGAATGGATGTCTAGGATTTCTAGACAATGTGCAGTTGTGTTTTTATCTTCTTAGTGTCACTAAAATCCCTCTCCTCAAGAATGAGCAGTTAGAAACTGTTTAGAAGTTGTCTGTACTGGTGTTATGGTAGTGCTCTCAGGGATTGTCTAATTACTTTTGGGTTTTTTGGTGGGTTTTTTTCCCCTGTGAAACATACTTTTCCCCTAGTCCGGCTGCTGCTAGGAAATTCGGGGAGCAGAGGGACGTGAGTGTCCTGTGCCTGCCCCGCCACTGCACAAGAAGCCTCAGGAACGCAGCGTGCTGAGCCCCTGGATAGCTGAGCCCGTGGCACGTGGGAGGCTGGAAAGCCATGTGTGCCCAACACAGGCCTGCTTTTCCTACTCTTCAGGCCACTGTGAATAGACTTAAGTCCCTTGTGTTTTTTTGTTTCCTAAGTGTTGGAACATCTGGTGGACTTGGCTTCAGCCCCGCTGAGATGTCCGGAGTGGGGGTCTCTCTCACTCTCCCTGTCCTGGCTTCTCCATCAGTGTAGGGATGTCCAGTGTGGTCCTTAGGAAAGCGTCCTTGAGCCGGTGGCAGGGATCCTCTTTTCTGTTTGTTTTGAGAAGCAGTCGTGTTCTGCCTCAGCACAAAGGCCAGTGTTACTCGTCCCTCTCTTTTGTACAATGCTGATGATGCTCGAGAACCTCAGCAGATCTGAGCCACTGCAGCTCCTAGCAGGCCCTGGAGCCCAGCCCAGGCTAAGCTGGGGTGTCCAGGGGCCACCCCTCCAGGAGGGGACTCCCCACAGAGCTGGGGGAGGAGAGGGACTCTGGAAACCCCTCCTCTGCCCAGCTCCTGTCCAGGGTTGAGACTTTCAGAATGTGACGCCATGGTGCCGCACCACTCTCAGGGAGATCCAGAGGCTTGTGCCCCATAGCTGCCCACGTGTGACGTTGTATGTGGAGAGGCCAGTCTGACTCTGAGGATCCAGTGTGATCCACTTCCGTCCTTTGTGGCTAGGCCATGCAATTGAGTTTTCTAAAGCTGGAGAAAGGAAGAACTGTGCCTTGAATTACTTGAGCTCACACTGACAACCTGGATGTAAACAGGAGCATTTCTACTTAGTTTATTTAATAAAGCTCTATATGATTTCTTAGGAGGGGCATGATCATTGCTGGGGTTTCGCACACCCTGCCTGGGAGTGACCCAAGCCCTGCGGACACGGCTCCCACTGTGCAGATTCAGAGCTCCCTGTGGCACTTCCATCTTCCCTCTGGCCACCAAGCCTCCCCTCCCACCTGTGAGAAGCCAGTGGGGCAGAGCCCGCTGCCTCCCCTCCAGGAGGGCACAGCCCTACCCACACACACCCAGGCCTCGGTCCTTTCTCGGGCACATCTGAACCCCCAAAAAGAAAACTCCTTCCCTTCCCCACACCCTGCCAGTGTTCACTTACTGCCACTGCCCGTTGTCCTCCCCCACCCCACTGAGGCTGTTCTCCCCAGGGTGCCCAGCACCTCCGTGTGGCCCCTTCCCTCTCACTGGGCTCTCTGCAGCCCAGACACCCTTCCTCTTAGCCCTCCCACCGTGCTGCCAGCTCCTCTGTCACCCTCTCTGGCCCACTTGCCTGCTCATCTGCTCATGCCCTGTGCCCGGCCTTTACTGAGTGCTCACAGGCACTGTCCTGAGCATGGCGCCTGTGTTAACCCTAGAATGCTGGCTGCAGTGGTGGCCCGTGTCACAGGTATGGAAGAGCGGGTGCTCAGGGAAACCAGGTAATTTGCCCAAGGTCAGCTGGCAGGAGCCTCTGCTTCTAGTTGTCCCCAAAACCCATCCCCCTTCTTCCTAAGGGTCTGCACCCAGTCTGCTGGGCAGAAAGTAGCCAGAATACGTGCAACCTTCCCCAGCCTCTTTTGCTGCTAGCAGCCAACATTTGACAACATTTTAGGCACAAAGGTGAGCAGGTGTCCCACATAGCTCATGAAGGCTCTCCTAAAGGAAGGACACATCCTCACTCTGTTCCCAACATCCACCTTCTCCAAGGCCCGTAAGTCTGTCCCCTCCTTGTCTCCCCATCGCCTCCCTTCCCCAGCCTCTCCTCTCAGCAGCCCTCTCCCCATTGTCCTGCTGTGCACAGATCTGTCCCTGGCTCTTCCACCCCTCCTTAAACCCCAGCTCAGTCCCCATCACTCTCTCCCTTCCAGACCTCTGTCCACACCCAGTGAACTGCAGTTTCCCAACAGGCTGTGCTCTCCTTAGGCTCCCTTCACCCTGCTCCTTGTCGCCAGGTGCGACCTGCCTCCTTTGTCTCCTGCTAGGCTTTGAGACCAGACGGAGCTGGGTTCGGTCCTAGATCCACCCCCTCCTGTCTGCATGCTCCTGCTCTGGTCTCTTCCCCACTCTGAGCTTCAGTTTTCTCCTCCATGAGAGGAGCACAGCAGTGCTTGCAAAGTCATTGTAAAAACAGATAAGATGCTGGCTGTGTGCGAAGTCTGTCGCTCAGGCAGTGGCTTGACGAGTGGGGGTGTGCTCCTCTCCTGGAGGAAGTGGGGCAGAGGAGGCCTTGGCTCCCCAGCAGGCTGGGCAGAAAGGAGGCCGGATCCGGACACTGCTGGGAGTCGGGAATGGGAGGTGACTGGCCCCAGAAGTGCTTGGGGGATACATGACAGTCTTAGAATATATAAACCCTTGTCCTGGGAAGCTACATGCAGAAGGCTAAAGACCATTGCAGCCGCCATCGCTGCCCTGGTCCTGGTTTCCCTGGCTGGAAAATGGGGAGGACTCTGACCCCATGAGGACCCCGTGAGGACTCAGTGAGCCAATAGATGCAAGGCACTGCACTCACACATGCTGCTGGCACCGGGCCACGTGAGGAGCCAGGACGGAGAAAGCATGTGCAGAGTGATGAGGTGGAGGGACAGCAGGTGAGCACAGGAGGGTGCTCCCGACCTCTGTTGTCATGGCATTTGCATGCCGTGGTGCCATCGCTGGACTCCCTGCCTGGGACCTCCCTCGGGGGTGAGAACAGGCCTGATTCTACTATGTCCCCAGAAGTCCATGCACAAGAAGGCCCCGCAAGTATTCAGCTGATGTCAGATACTCAGCACGGGGCCCACCTGACACTCAGTAGGTGTCAGCACTGCCCTCAGGCAGGTCCCTCAGGAATGCAAGATCTGGACATCACTTCACTTCCAGACATGGCACATCTGCAGAAGAGGGGCAGAGCAAGCTCTCCCTGTCTCCTCCTGAGGACCAAAGAGGTCTTTCCTGGAAGCTCCTCAGCAGGCAGCTCCCGCTATCCCATCCTGGGGTCATCTCATGGCTGTTCCTGGCCCATGGCTGGTGAGGGTGCTGGGTGATCACGCCTGTGAACAGAAAGCCTTCAGGGGCCACTGGAGGTCAGGAAGCTGATCTCCTCAACTCCTTTCAGACGAAATGGAAAAGTCTCAGCATCTGCCTGCTGCTTTTCTCTCTGATGGTGACAGTGTCCTCCCTTCACATATCTTGGATACTCCGGGGCCTGACAGACGGAGCCGGAGGTTCGAGCTTTCTCCTCCCCAGGGGCCAGCAACATTTTAGAGCACATTGGGGACAGCAAGAGTGGGTACAGCTGGAAGCAGTGAGTGCACCCGATGAGGCACATTGAGAAAACCTGGTGACACAGCATGGTTCGGCTTTCTGTTCCCAAACTAACCACGCGACTGTCAATCTCTAAAGGGTGCCAAAAAATGCTTTTAGCACCATTTAGCGCTAAAAATACAGTATTACACAGATTTTTTTTTTCTCTAGAATTCCCACGTTTGGCCAAAAATTAACTCTGTTGCTCTCTCTACCTCTCTCTTTGTCCGTGTGTGTGTGTGTGTGCGCGCGCGCACTCATATGTACACCTCATACAGCCTTGGGCATTCTGGAAATGTAACATCTGAGGTCTGCTACACCATCTAGAAGGGAACACAGAACTGGGACATCCAGGGTGGGTAGCAAAGGGCTAGGCTGGTGAAAAACCCAGGGAGCTTAGACATCGGGTGACTGGGAGCCTAGGTCCACCTGTTCTGGGCGGCAGGCGAGATCATTTTGCCTCTCTGGACCACAGTAGTTACCTCACCTGTAAAGTGGCCCTCCTGACATCTGTCCTGCTTGCTGCCCCGCGTGGCAAACCGTACCACTATTCCAGCCCTTGCCTCCCCACATGCCTGCGTGGTCTCCCATGTGACTTTGAGGTTCCTCCTGCTCAGTGAAGTTGGGCGTGGCCATGTGATTTGCTTTGGCCAATAGCACATGGGTGGGAGTGACAGTGTGTCAGTTCTGAGTCCCACCCAGTGCCCCACTTCTTGTGCTTCTGCCTGACACAGTCATCAGGAAGTCCACGTGGCTGCTGGTCCAAGGAGGAAGAACAACACCTAAAAGGGACCTGAGACAGACCTGCCCATCCCAGATCAACTTACCTGCAGACCTGTGAGTACGAGAGTAAATGATGGTTCTTTAAAACCACTGATTTTCGGGGCTGCTTGTTAGGCAGCATTATTGCAGCAATTGGTGCCTGGTACTAAACGTGACATGGATTCCCTTCTGGTTGAGTCCATTTCAGGCAGGTTTTCTGTCACTTGGCCCCCTCTCTTCAGCCTCTTCTCTCTGGGGCTCTGTCTGGCACTGCCCCCTGAGCCCATCCTGCTGGGACACGGTTTCCTGGGTGTTCCTGCCTCAGGCTGGCCAGGTACTCAGGCAGGAGACTCTGAGGACAAAGGGCACAGGCAGGCCGTCGGAGGCAGGGCTCCCCGTCCTGTGTTCCGATTCCCTCTGTCATGGGGCCAGGGTGCAGTCAGCTGCCTGTGAGAGGCTGCCATGAGGGTTGGTGGAAATGGGGCTCCGAGGGACACATTGCTCCATCCATGCGGGTCCTGTGTCCAAACAAAACCACCCACCCAGCCTCACCCTCCATTGCAGCCCTTGTGGTGGGGACCGCATGGGGAAGGAAGTTCTCAGGCTGGTTTGTTGACTGAATACATGAGTGACTACATGAAGGAATAAGTGGTCGTAGGTTTTCCCTGGCTGTGGGCCTCTGGTTTTCTGGAACACTCTGAGCTTCAGGCTGGTGGGAAGAGAGAAGCAGGGGCCAGGGAGCCAGGTGAAGGCTGAAACTCTAAGTCCATCTCACCCCAAGGTCCTGGGGAGGGGCCTATCTCAGCCTCCTCCATACTCCTCCCAGCTGCCTGGGCCAGAGCCAAACAAAGACAGCTTGGCAGAGTCATCGCCCCAGTCAGCACGGCTCCCAGGGCCTGTGTGGACTGTGGGGAGAGGCCTGCACTCCACTTGCCAGGCCCTTGCCACACACTGCACAATAACCACAGCCCTGGGAGGTGGGCACAGCTACTTATGGTTGGGGAAACCGAGGCAGGCAAGGTGAAGCCACTCTCCTGGTGTCACATGCTGGCAGTGACAGGATTTGAATTCAAGCAGACTAGAGTTCGAGTTTGTCCTCCACACCCGGTCCTGCCTCCGGGTTGGGGAAACCGAGGCAGGCAAGGTGAAGCCACTCTCCTGGTGTCACATGCTGGCAGTGGCAGGATTTGAATTCAAGCAGACTAGAGTTCGAGTTTGTCCTCCACACCCGGTCCTGCCTCCGCCTCTGCCTGCCTGGGCCGGGGCATCCACCAGGAGGGGAGAGAGCTAGGGCCCACACCCATGTCCCTCAGAGCAGCTCAGCTCTGACTGTCTCATGGGTTATTCTGTGATCATGAGAAAAAATTTTAACGTAAGCAAAAAGAAGTTTAACATAGAAAAAAGTTTTCATAAGAAAAATATTTAACAGAAAAATGCAAAGAATTATATCACAGACCCCTGTGCCTACCACTCATTGTGAGCAATAGTTAGCGTGGTCTCATGGGCTTCCAACTGTGTTTTGTTTTTGGTTTTTTCCCAAAAAACAAACAATATGACTAAAGTCTCATTTAGCTTCCGCCTTCAAGCCCCTCCCCTCCCTTCTCAGAGGCAACTACTTTTATAAATTTGGAGCCTATCTTGCCAAAGCAACTTGTATTCTTAATGATAAGCATCAGTAAATAAATAATTATTGTTTTGTGTGTTCTTTTAAATTTTTACGTAATTGTTGTCGTACTTGGCAACATGCAGCATCTCGCTTTTCCCTCTTAGGTGTTGTGT